GTCCCTAATTCATGTTTAGTTTATCTTGTTCATCAGTCCATGCTGATTTTTTTTCTTTTTTTTTACTCTGGGGTCTAACTTTTCCTTTTGGTAGTCGCGTTGGAGTCACAAACTTATTTCTCGAAATGAGGATACGACTTTATGGCCTATACTCTTTTATTGTCTCAAGGCCTATCACCTCTCGTATTTTCCTTCACTTGAGTATAGACTCTGTAATACTGTCATCTTTTTGATCTACCGTTGTCGTCCATGTATCACATCTTACTCATAATGCTTCATTAACTCTCTTATTATTTCCCGCTAATATTTATGTCTATTACTTTATTCAGAAAACTTCAACAAGACATTCTTTGCTTTTAGCTCCCCTTTCCCCATTCCCTGGCTCTTCGGGTTGCCTAACATTCCCGTTTTACTAGGGACGGGAGCCACACTAAGGTAATGTTTATCCCTTCAAGGCTTCCAGAGCCTATCTTTGTAGTACTCATAACTAACTGTACTATTTTAGAGTGCACCATCTGGTGTCTCACAAGGAGATCGATTACCACATTTACAATACCCTTCGGAAATGTCAACTAACACAAACAATTCATTCACCATTTTGGGTTACTCTAACCCCAGTCGGATCCTGATATCCCATCATTCTCTTAAACTATACTTGTCAGACCCCTAGGGCATAACTGAAATGGGTGTGATCAATTGTATATATCTCTGTTACTGTTAAAGGTAACTCAGAATGCTTATATTCCTCTGCCTGAATTGTAAATACTGATAATCTTCATTAACTTGGTACCTCGTACCCTTCTCACCTTGCTCCTTTTACTTGTTGAAACTTGTATCTACCTTCTGAATCTCTCGTTGCTTTTTACCATATGGGTGGATATATATTCATGCCTTAGGGCTCCCTTTCCAGAAGCTCACACGTCTTAGTGTGTACATGATCTGGTGGAGACCTTACATTTACTTATCATAAGCATGATGCAAAAATTGAGTTTCTCTGACTCAACTCTTCCACAGCTATATCTCTTACCAACCGTCTTTCTGGATGTAGGCATCGCCATATTATGAATAAGATAGAGTTTAGAAAATTGAGTTCTTACAACTGAGCTCTACCATACGACCTAGAGTACGAAGAAAGAGTGACAGTCCTAAATGCCCTATAGCCTTCTGCTTATAAGTGCGGTACACGACACACCCATAAACAAGACTATACTAGACACGACTTGTAGACTACCTAAAACAAAACTGCTCTGATACCACTTTTGTCACGATCCAAACGGATGGGCCGCGACGGTCACCCGGTGCCTTACTCAATCGAGTACCAACGTAACGTATCTTTCTTATTACATCATCATATACACGTGACATACGAGCCTAATGGGCCAACATGATCATTTATAAACTCAAAACATAGGCCGACAAGGCCGTACAATCTTTCATATACATGACATCTGTCTACAAGCCTCTAAGAATATATAATTGTCATAAAGATCGGGACAGAGCCCCGCCATACAAAACAATACACATCTAAATCATACTGACCAAACAAGCGACTGCGGAGCAAATGGAGTGCACTCACATCTGTCACTGAGCTGATCGCCTACTTGGAGGACTCTCGACCTGTCTATCGAGACCTACGGGCATGAAACGCAGCGTCCCCAGGCAAAAGGGACGTCAATACAAATAATGTACCGAGTACATAAGGAATGAAAATCAGTAAATAATAGACATGAGAGAAACATAGAGTAAAAGACTTGACATGTACGTCTGCATAGCTCTGTGAATCATTTCATTTTTATAATGTCATGCATATGCGTATAAATGTCATACCATGCATAGGTATATGTGTTCATAACATCATCAAGCCACTGAGAGCATCACATCATATCATTTCGGCCACTGTGGGTAAATCATCAACGTATACCAGCTGATCAGGTGGTGGTACGTATATAACACTGTAACCTTTTCCCATATCTCATATACATATATACGCGTATATAACGCCATCTGGTCATGGGTTAATGTACATGTATAAATGAATGAAATGCATATAAAATACATCAATAAAATCTCTCGGAACGTAATAGGACCATTATGCCTTTGATTAAAGTCATGAAATAAACTTTATCAATTTACGTATTTTCTGAGACCCATGAACAGATGATGGAATAATAAGACACATGGGGAATCAAAAATATAGACACCCCTAGTATTTCTATGAATAGAGTCATTTATGAAAGTTGCATATTTTGCTCGTTTCATTTGTATCATTTGGATCATGCCAAAAAGAAAGAAGGGATAGCCGTAACATACCTGAGCTGATTTTCTTGGCAATCCCTCTAACATACATCAATTGCGACGGAACACGTAACGGTGAATCAAAGTAGGGAAAAATTCTTATGATATTCTTGAGAAATATTGCACCGTATTCCCTTAGAATCGCAAAATACCGTTGCTATTATGCTAAGAAGTCTCGTATGAACTTTGTTTCAAGAAAAATCACGTTGAGATATCTTTCTTGTATGAATTTGCTGTATGAACTTTGTTTCAAGAAAAAGTCTCGCAAACTTTCTTGTATGAAATCACAATTACAAGAAAGAAAAGGACTAGGAAATGGGGAATGAAATAATCAAGTAGTAGTTGCTGCAAGTAGTGCAAAGTCTATTGAGCCAAAACGGAACAAGTGAAAGTAGTGGGGTTTCTCTTTTTTTTTCTTTCACTTTAGTTTTACTTTGTGGAATTGGAGAAGAAGAGTAGGTGTGAAATATCCGTTGCCTAATGCTACTTTGATAACCTTTCTCTTGAATTAGAAAGATGTTAGGTTTTAATGTAATGACTAAGCCACATATTAAATGTGCCACCTTTTCACTCAAATGCAAGAGTCATCATATGTCTCTCCACGTGGCTGCCACGTTTTGGATCATTAATCTTATCCAAAGACTTTAATTATTAATTATTAATTAACTAGTTAATTTTTCCATTATCCAATAATTCACATAACTAAGGATTATGTCAAATTACTTAAAATACTACTCACTTTTAACATACCTTATACACCTTACTATCATGATCATGTGGTACCTTGTACGATACTAGTCCATAAATATCGGGTACTTTAGCTCGGATCGTATTTTATCCCAACATGACAAACTTCGACGAAAATTTATTTTTTTCGATTTGCTTACCCTCTCACCTTCACGAATTTTCTCATCACTTGTTTGAAATAGCATAAGGCTTATAATCTCATTCCCGAACTTACGTTGATTAACTTACGACGAAACTTTAACGTACGAAAATATGGGGTGTCACAGTATTGATGTGTGGCTATAATTCCATAGTTTCGTACATTATTTGCCTTGCATTTTATATGCTTTAATGATAAATTATACTTTATTTGTGCGTAATGGAGTCTATTTTATGTGTAGGTGAATTGGAGATGAAAGTAGAGCAAAAGGGATAATTAAATATTGAAAGCGTGCTCGAGAATAGTGAAAAGGAGAAAGCTGGCGAAGCCAGGCCTATAGCAAGCTTTATACCTGGCAACGCCAGGCCTTTAGCTCGCATAGGAGCTGGCGAGGCGAGGCAGAGGCGAGCTCAAGCCGGCTGTATACTTGGCGACGCCAGGCCTGGGGCAAGGTCCACCAAGCGTTATGCCTCGCGAGGCCAGGTCTGGACGTGCACATTCCGAGTTTTGAAGACTTATTTCGTCTCCTGGTTTGACTAGGACATGGCATACATGTTTAGGTCTTTTCCTACATATATAAATAGACCTAAAAATGCCACTTTTGAGGAAAAATTGGACAGCGAGAGACCGACATAGGAGATTGGACATGGATTTGACCTAAGGAAGCAAGAACACACTAGGAGCAAGGCGGAGAATTCTTCTACGAGTTTTTCACTTCCTTCTTGCTATTTCCATTATTGGTTATGAATTCTAGTATTGTAGTTTTGCATACTATTATGAATAGCTAATTTGTTATCTAGGAGTTTGATGGAACCTCTTGAAGGATGATTTTCCTGTTACGTTAATATAAATTTGCCGTAATATTTTCTCTCTTTGTTCAACTACGTTTATATTGTGGTTGGTTGAAGAGCTCTCAATCGACTGTGCCTATTTAGTGTGTATTACTCGGGAGATAGTGCATATTTAGGTAGTTGTTGAACAACATCACTCCTAACGTATATGAGGGATCAATACGAAGGGTTTAAAGGTGAGATTAGGGATAACGAAACCTTGGTGCGATCCGAGTGAGCCGCACTTAATGTCAGCTAGCGTAATTCAGGAGAATATGTCTAGTAAATTGTGGTAGTTACTTGGGAGAGAATTACGACACTCAGAGCTCTCATGATCGGTAGAGAATATTTAGGCGAAATTATAGAAGACGTAGCGGGAAGGATTCCGACAATTGAGAAATCATAACTCTAGACCTCCTTAATCTTGTCTCCAAAACTTATCCTTGTTAATTGATAGTTTTACTGCTTTCTAGTATTTGTTAGTGAATTATAAAAATAAACATTATAATCTTTATAATTAGAAAATTGTTTGGACTTGTGTTTCTTAGCGATAGTGAACAATTGTAGCTAAGCCTTAGTTCTCTGTGGGATTCGACTCCGGACTTGTAAACCGGATTATATTTGTAACGACCGCTTAGTCCTTTTTATAAGGCATAGTTGGGCGTGATCACTTTAAAATCGTCTAGCACTTCTTTCCTGCCATATATGGTAGACGGAAGCTGCAAATAAGAAGCTGATAATTCCATCTCTAGCTTTGCTATTCTTTGTTTGCTTGGTCATCCAGTCAACTTCATCATCCCATGTTCCCAGTTGTCTCTTTTCACCCAACCACATTAGTAGAGATGTCCATAAGCATTTGGAGTAGGCACAAGCGAAGAACATATGGTCAGCAGTTTCCTCCAATCATGAGTCACATAGCACACATGCACTTGGCACCTGTATGCCTCATTTTTGTAATCGATCAACTGTAGCCAGTCTTTTGTGTACTGTTATCCATAATATAAACTCTTGGTAAGAAAGGAAGGTTCAAGAATACAGCTCTTCCATGATACTTTTTGGTATTGTGGTAGAAGGGCCAAATAAGTTTTCTTTATCAAGAAGTTCCCATTTATGCAGTAACGTTTTAGTTCTGCTCTAGGATCAACATTTGGAAACCATTCCCTTGCTTCAATTATTTTCCTAACAATCCAGTTGGCCTGTTTAGGGATAGCTATTGAGGTCAATGCATTGCATTTTATGTAGAAACTATGTACCCATCGGATCCACAAGGTGTCCTTCTTCTCAGCAATAGCCCAAAGTAATTTGCAGATCGCAGCTTTATTCCAAGTATATAGATCAATGATATTCAGTCCTCCTGCAGAGCGAGGCATACGTAATTTTTCCCACGAAATGAGTGCTCTTTTTGTAGGCTCATGTTTCCTAGTCCATAAGAAGGCTCTGCATATACTTGTTACCTGTTTGATAACCTTCTTGGGCAGTAGGAAGACCTGAGCCCAGTAGGTTTGCATTTCAAATAAGACACTTTTGATAAGTTGGGCTCTCCCACTGTAGGAGAGAAATTTTGTAGACCAACATCGTATTCTAGCAATTATCTTTCCACCAAAGGTTGACACTGTTGAACAGTGATCTTCTTAGAGGACAAAGGCACTCCGAGATATTTGAATGGCATTTCTCCTTGAGAAAACTGCATCTCTTCTGAGATACCCTGAGATACTCCTGCAATGTATAAGGAACTCTTTTTCATATTTGCTCTAAGGCCTCGGACATTTGAGAAATGATGAAAGGCTTGAAGCATTAAGTGATGCAAATCTTGTCTGCTCTACAACACATTAGCAAGTCCTCAGTAAAGCATATGTGTACCAGCTTCATCCTATCACATTTAGGATGATAATTGAAGTCCAGGTTATGTCTAAGCTGTTTCAGTGATCCATTGAGATATTCCATGGCAAGCACAAATAGATATGGCGACATATGATCTCCTTGTCACAACCCCTTCTTGGCTTGGAATCTGGGAGTAAGACCTACATTAATCAGCAGAGAATAACTGATAGTGGACACACATTCCATTAGCAACTGGACAAACTTTGCAGGGAATCCAAATTCTAGTAGCAGCATTCTTAAGAATCCCCATTCAACTGAATCATATGCCTTTCTGATATCCACCTTCACTATACATTTATATAGCCTTTGACTAATTCATGATCTATTATGACATTATCGAGAATGATTCTCCCTTCAATAAAAGCAGACCGGGAATTCCCAACAATATAATCAACTACCCTTTTCAGTCTTGAGGTAAGGATCTTGGCTAAAAATTTGTAGACCGTAGAGCAGCATGCTATTGGCCGGAATTCCTCCAGTGTTGATCAATATTGGAGAGTGATCTGAGCATTCTCGAACATGATAAAAGGCTTCAAGGCTGCTGAACTTTGTAAACCAGTTATCATTTCCAAAGGCCCAATCGATCCTGCTGTAAATCCTACCAGTGGCATCTCTCTTGTTAAATTGGGCCAGTTGCTAACATCAAAGGCCGAATTATGTTGGATGAATTTTTTAGAACCACCGTGTATGTTGGTCCCGTTAAAAGTTGTGAAAAAATAGCACCGCCCTAGCATTTTAAAGCATGCTCAAAATTCTGGCGGCCTGCTTTAAAATATCTGGCAGTGTGCTTCAAAATACTGATAACATATTTTAAAATGCTTTAAATTCTAGCAACGTGATCGTGCTTCAAAATTTTGACAGTGTACTTTAACATTATGGCGCGGGTTATTTTCCTAGAACTTTTTTTAACAAAGTCAAATTTTAAACGGTGACACTAAATATTCCTCTGTGCCAACATGCACTATGTCCAGCTGCTAGCGTTAGATATTTAGATAGTTAACAACACCATAACTATGACTAAAAAAAGTGCAGACCCGCTTTCACTGGATTTTCCTACTTAATCGTAATTATTCTCTTAACAAGAATTGTATAGCTCAGTAGGTGTAATTCTAAAACTTTAACTTAGTTAAATGCCTTGAGGTAAAATTGACAATATTGCTAATCGTTTACCGGTTTTGTTCATTATATACCAAGAGATGATTTAGGCCCCGTATGTTTCAATTTTTTTTTTAAAAAAATGTGTTTGTCCATGAAATTTTGCAAGTTTTTGAAAAATTTTCGAAAAATAGTTTTTCAAAAATCAAAAAAGTGATTTTGATCACTTTTCAAAATATTCAGAAATTTTGTTTTCCCCACTTACAAAACTACAATATTTTTTCAAGTGAAATGCATATTCTAACATTATTTCAAATTTCAAATATCATTTTTCAACTTAACTCCAAATACTATTTTTTTTCAAAAGTTTTAATCTTTATGTCCAAATGCCTACTTAATTTAGTAAAGACCGAATAGAACTTCAGAGCTCCTAAAAAATCTCTAATATGAAATTTGAGAAAGATTAAATTTTGACTTAAGTGATTTATAAGCATACGTGGACTCCCATTGTGCTCAATATAGGACTATTTGTGCATCATGCCCCTTTAAAAATTTAAAATTTAAAAAATAATATTTTTAAATCTTTTGTATGTAAAAGACATATTTCTTACGTGTAAAACAAATCTCTCAAGTATAAAAAAAGTTAAGATCATAAAACTAAAAATAAGTTTGTAAAGAGCCATAAAATTAATTGACCAATTCTAGAAATTTTAACTAACTATTCACGCGCTTGGACTGATGTGCATTCACCTTCTAGAACACGATAAAGGATAGTGTACTATTAATTTATTTCAGAAGAGGTTAATAGAATCCAAGCAAAGCACTAGGGTTGTTCAAACCGAACCGTAAAATTGCACCAAATCGAAAAGTCAAAATAAATCGATTAAAAAATCCGATTAGATTTGGTATTGATCAAAAAAATCCGAACCAACCCGACACACACACACACACACACACACACACATATATATATATATATATATATATATTTAATTTTTTTGAATTATATTTACTTAAATTATGTTGAAACTTATATTATGTTATATTGTAATTTTACATAAGAGTATGATGTTAATTATTTTTTGGATTATGAATTTATGTTATAATTTCGGTTCAATTTTATTTCCTTTAGTAGTATTGACTTATTAATTCAGATTGCATGCCATTCATTTTTCAATTAGAATTTATAGATTATTGTTTCGTAAAATATTTGAGCAATATTATTGTAGGCATATAAATTTTATTGGAATTAAATTTATAAAATAATTTGAACTATATTTTAAATTCAAGATATATTAGTTCAAATAAATTTACTGAGCTAATATAATTGAATTAATTGTATAAGTCTAATATAAATGGATTAAATAAATAAGTCTTAATCCATTGGGCTAGCTCATTTAATTGGGCTAAAGTGATGAGCCCACTTCGTTAGGCCCAAGATGTCATCTTCCTAGAGGCCCAATTTGGTGCCACGTATCAAATGGCGTGGCGCGCCAAGTCAAACGGAAGGGCAAATAGGATCATGCCACGTGTCAAAATGACAAGGCATGTCAAGTCACATTAGAAGGCTAATGAAACCGCGTCACGTGTGCAAGTGACATGTTCTGACCAATCAAACGCGGTCATGCCACACTTCAATTTGATTGGTTGAAAAGAGTTTGTTCTTATCATAACTCTTCCCTTTCACAACTATAAATAGGGGTCTTCATAACCCAGAAAAGACACTAGAAGTTATAACAAGAAGCAAGAGAGAGCTCGTGGATCAAACGCCGCAAAATTCTCTACAAGTTTCAAGCTTCAAGCAATCAAGTTCAAGTTCAAGAAATCAAGTTTAAACTCAAGAACGAAGAACTTCAAGCTCAAGAAATCAAGTTCAAGCTCAAGAACGAAGAACTTCAAGCTCAAGAAATCAAGTTCAAGCTCAAGAACGAAGAACAAGTCAAGATTCAAGGAGTACGAGTTCAAATCAAAGTTCGTGATAGTTGAATTCAAGATCATCGTTCGTAGAAACAAATATAGATTCAAGATCAAGCTCAAAGGCCCTTGAATTTATTTACTATTGGAAAGAAGAATCAGAAGATTCATAGAGATTGTACACTCAAATATTTGAAATAAAATACTACGATTTTTGTAATATTTTTTTGTCTTGATTTTATTTTTCTTGACGCAAATTTATTTCTACAAATTCTGGCACGCCCAGTGGGACAATCTCTACCTCTCATCTCAACTTTTCAATCATCAAAGTTCAAGAACATTGAAATGGCTTCAAAGAAAATCAACTCCAATTCAACTTCCACCAAGGCTGTTAATTTCAGGTTCTATGCTGATGTAGAAAGCATCCTCGATGTTACCTTTGGAAGATTTGGACCAGTTACGAGGAGCAAGGCAAGCTCGTTAGGACAACAAGCACCCCAAGTGTCATCCGCATCAACCCCTATTTTCGAATCTTCATCCTCAAAAAGAGGAAGATCTTTCACAAACGTACCCGAAGGAGGAAGCGATGTTGCTGAAAAGATCAAGAAAACTCTTGCTCTGCTTGACCTCTCCGGATCCAAGAACTTGGCTGTGAAGGAAGATGATGATGCTTCAAGTGATGGATCCTCCCCACTTACACCGCGTAGCGTAAGCCATTCGAGAATCAATCTGTGTGACAATCCATACTACTCCCCATCATCTACAACAATCATGCAAGCCATGTTGACAAACACTTCATCTGTGGAAGAGCAGTTGGCGAACTTGACGGAAGCAATCGCTGGCTTGACCAAGTGCATGCAAATCAAGATGCTAGAATTGACAAGATAACAGACAGTGTGGGAATCTTGATGGAAGAAGAATCCACTCATGCATCTGGCAAGCTCCCAGAAGTTCCAGAGATTGATTCTCCCCCGATACAAGTAGCATCCGCTAAGGCTATCCCTGTCTCATCTGAAGGGATAATTCCCATCGATCAACTGAAGGAGTTCATTGAAGGAACTATTAAGAATAAATATAAAGTTGCTGCCAAGTCCTCCCTTACATACGCAAAGTCGTACACTGCAAGGATCGATATGTTGAAGATGCCTGCTGGCTATCAACCTCCAAAGTTTCAACAGTTTGATGGTAAAGGCAATCCAAAGCAATATGTGACGCACTTCGTTGAGACATGCAACAACGGTGGGACTTATGGATATTACCTTGTCAAACACTTTGTCCGCTAGCTAAAAGGAAATGCTTTTGATTGGTATACAGACCTCGAGGCGGGATCTATTGATAGCTGAGATCAACTAGAGCAAGATTTCCTCAATCGCTTTTATAGCACAAGGCGCATTGTGAGCATGGTGGAACTCACAAATACTCGTCAACGGAATGGTGAACCAGTTATCGACTTTATCAATCGTTGGAGGAACGCAAGCCGCAACTGTAAAGACAGGCTTAGTGAAGCTTCTGACATAGAGATGTGCATCCAAGGCATGCATTGGGGATTGCGCCACATCTTTCAAGGTATCAAGCCTAGTACATTTGAAGAACTTGCAACGCGTGCCCGTGATATGGAATTGAGCATGGCCTCCGCTGGAAATGAAAGTCTGCCCATCTATGAACCTCGCAAAGGGAACGACAAGCAAGAAGTCAAAAAATGGAGCAAGTTTGTACCAAGATCTGAAAACAAAGAAGCTATGAATGTCATCACATCACCTATGAAGTTCACGATGAAGGTGAGCAAGAAGCAGAGTGTGAAATCCACTTCGTTTCAAGATAAGCCAAGTGGAAAGTTGACTCTAAAGGAAATGCAAGAGAAAGAGTACCCATTTATGGATTCTGATGTGCCGACCATTTTCGAAGAACTCCTCGAGTTAAATCTTATTGAGCTTCCGGAGATGAAGCTGCCAAATGAAGCTAGGAAAACTGATGACCCAAATTACTGCAAATATCATCGACTTGTGAGCCACCCTCTGGAGAAGTGCTTTGTCTTCAAGCACAAAGTTATGGAATTGGCTCGTGAAAAAAAAATCATGCTT